CCCCAAAACCCCAAAACCCCAAAACCCCTTTAAAGTTTAAGGTTATTGAAAGAATCATTGTGAATTTAATAACAAAATGTTTTAAAGCTGTCAGGTTCACTATTAATGATTAATTTTAATTTCATTATAGTTTCACATCTTTTTAAGGATCTGACGTTCCATTAAATTGACACAATTTTGAAGGATATTTTAAGGTAATTTTATCTCCCTAATACTCTAAGTTAATGTCATTAAATCCAATCGCTCAAAAGCTGGATTCATCTCTACAAACCTTACAACCTACTAAAATACTGTGAAAATAGTTTCATATTTGACTTAAATTTTCAGCCAGCTTTGTATTCCAAAGATAAATTTGAATTACATTAACATCAGATAATTCTGGAGCAATCAAATGCTTAGCAACTCATACATATGGAATAAGGTAAGACCTTGGTACCATCGATGGCTCTATTGACTCAATCTCTAAAGGTTTGATAAAAGGAAACTTCTTAATAATATCAAAAGATTGATCTTTTAACAATCTCTTACATTCATAAAGAGACCATCTGAGAGTAGTGTAAAAATGGGCTTTGATTTCCAAGGGGTCTTTGTCTGGTATAAACTTGGTATATTGATCCCAATCGAACTCTACGATAGAGTAAAAATCAAGTATTTTCAGTGTAATATCATCTGTCCATTGGTACTTCTCTTTACCACGGCTAGTCGCTTTGGAATATTCTCCAAGAGTAAGCTTGACTAGACTATTTTTAGCCCAATCTCCTTCGTTCTCTTTAAGTTCACTCTTCAACTTTCTTTTTCTGCCACGTTTTGGAGCGGTTCTGAGTCTTTCATCATTCAAGAAATCACTATCTATTAAACTTTTAAAACATTTTAATCTTTTTGATGTCTGTTCTGCTTCTCTTCAATTTCTCTTTTAGCAGTCCTATTCTGGTGTCAAAAGATTCAAAGAGGATATCAAAGATCATCTGATCCTCTTCAATATCCCATGCACCAAGTTTTATTGTAGGATTTAAGAAGTTGTTATACCTATTCCTACATGTAGTAGCTGTTCTATCTGCACCCATTCTCTGTGCAACGAGAGACCAGTTGGTCTTCCCTAGTTTGGCCACAAGTCTGATAAGTTTATCATCTTCTTCCTTAGCCCATTTCCTTTGAGATGCACTTTTGGATTCAATCATTTCTATTTCAGTCATTTTAAGTGAAAATTAACTAGATGCATAAAAATGTTCAAAAATTAGAGTTCGAAATAAGCTTTATGATTTCGCAGTACTTTCAGATGCTTATGACGCATTTTCAGGTTTGCCTGAACTTTCCTGGTCAGATTTTTGAGAAACCCCAGCAGAGTCTTCCTCAGAATCGTCTGAATTCACTTCTAGTTGTTGATCTTTCTGTACGCAAGATGGCTGTGATAATGGCTTTGTTGTTTTAATGTCACCCCTCATGTCTAATTTCTCTTCCAAGAGATTCTCGTCTTTTTCTTTATCTTGTTCATTTGTCTCTTTTATCATAGTATCTGCTGTTTCCTTACTCATATCAACATCTTTAGTGGTGTCCTTTGTCTTTTCTAGGACTGGATTAGCTTCTTCTTGGTTCTTAGCTTTTTCAGTGTCATCATTTGGTTGAGATTCTGAAACAGTTTCCTTCTGCATGCATTCCTGAGGTTTTACTGAAGAAGTTTTCACCAAGTCAGATTCACTCGGAGGTAAGGTTTCTCCCTTCAATATAGCAATACTTTTCTTGGTAGATTTCAAAAGTTCATCAAACTTTTCATTTATATTAGTTTCTAGAGTCTCCATTTTTAGTAAAATCAGGGATTGTTTTGAAAATTTCAATAATGCAGTCAAGTTTTTTTTATCCATAGCTTCAACCTTTGAGTTATATTTAAGATCTCTTTTAGCTTGACATCCTGCATTTTCTTGAGTAGTTGGTATATCCTCTCCTTTACACATAACTCTATAATCTCCTATTTGCTTGTCAGCTAAATTTGTTCTATCATGGAGCATATTGTTTGGGTCATTTCCAGTATAATTAAAGCTAAGGGGTCCAACTCCTTTTTGAGCATTTAAATTTTCCAGGTTTTCTTTACTCAAGTAGGCATCTTGGAATTTTATCTTTTCAGAATCCTGTAGGTTGTAAAAATCGCTTTCCTTCATATTTAGTTTACCGTCTTGGATATAATCCATTGCATTCCCAATGGTTTGATCTTCTCTGTCAAGTTCGCTCTTAATGCGCTGTTCAAACCTTTTATATTTTTCTGGGGAATATTCTTGATCATAATGTTGTTGCTGGGTTTCTTTCTCTCTCTCAACTTCTTTCCTTAATCTTTCTTCATTAATTAAGCATTCATTTTCATATCCTTTTTGGAGATTGGCCAGCTGACTCAAACTGGGGAGCTGCTGCGGTACCTTAATGTTGTTGAAATATCTTGATAAGTGTAGTCTCCATCTTGATTCAATTCTCTTCTTTGGAAGTGACTGAACCATTTCTGACAGTCGAGAGCAATTGGTCGTTTTATAGGTCATAATGGCATTTAGGATTGCAAGGTCTTGTTCAGGTGAGATCGATGTCTCAGGGATAATTGTCGCTTTTATCAAGTGCCATCTTGAGGAAATTGCCATATATGAGTGATTTCTAAGATACTTCTCTTCAAGTTCTTTAGATCCAATTCCATAAAAGTGTTTGCATTTCAGAAGGAAGTCATCCTCTTCCTTTGTCCACTTGTTGAATTTGGGCTTTCTTGGCTGTTCTAAATACTCTGACATTGCTTGGGATTAAAAGCTTTTTTGAGAGTTATATATATCAAGGTCAAATACTAACGATCCCAAAAGATTCGGATCTCAAAAATTTCAATTTTCCCAAAATCCCTCTCCAATCCCTAAAACCCACTCAAAAACGCCCTAACACCCTCAAAATCGCCAAAAAATGCCCAAAATCCTCCAAATTTCAACCCCACCACAATTTCCCAAAACCCCTCAAAATCCCCTCAAAACCCCATAAAACCCCATAAACCCCCCAAAAAATCCTCAAAACCAAAACCTCAAAAAAATCATTAAACAACAAAAATTACTCCCCACCCTCTCCATTCCCACCCACCTCAGCCTTAACCCTCTCCCTCTTAAACCTCCTCCTCAGTCCAGTCTCTACATTAAACAGACTCTCCTCTATCTCCTTCCTATGCACATGCATCGTCTCTCTCAGGTCTTCCTCCACTTGACTAATCTCTTCCTGGACCAGCTGATGCACTAGCTGTTTTAGCTGGGGCAAGAGCGGCGCAAAGGGATTTTGGCTCTTTGAAGCGGCTTTTAGGTCACGTTTTTTGGGGATTTGGGCGACTGGGGGTTTTAGGGTGGTGAAGAAGGAGTCGGTTAAGGGGCTGGTGTAGGTGGGGAGAGGGGTTTTGGACTCTTCGCGAGGGGGAGATATGGTGGAGATGGTGGGGGTGAGTGGAGGGAGGGCTGTAGGGGGCGCTGGAAGGGGGTCAATGGGCTCGGCTTTTACTTCTGTAGGGGTCATGTGGGGGAAGTTTAGGTGATCGAGTGATAGGTCTTCGTAGCCGATTATTGGTTTTTCTTTGGGTTTTCTGGAGATTAGTCCGAGTTTAGGCTTTATGACATTTTTGATCCTCTTTTTGATCTGAATGGTGTTTTTGTCCTCAAAGAGTTTGCTAATGCCTTTTAGATCAGTAGGGCCTTTTTGGCTAACCCAATCCTCGAGCTTTTGATCTTCTTCCGGAGTCCAATCTACGTTTGGTTCTTCTTTGAGATAGTGATGATATCTTGTTACTAAAGCATTTGTCTTACGGTTAATTCCAATATGTTCTGCCATTTTGTTCCATGGAATCTTCTGTTTTACTCCATCTAGTAACTTTTCATCTTGTTCTTTTGTCCAATGAGTTGTATCTCTTTTGTTGTTAGTTTTTCTCATTTTTCCAGGTATCTGTTATTTTTGTTGAAAATTATATCCAAAAAAGCGAATTTTTTAAACTCCAAATCCCCCAGAAAAGTAACAAAAAACCCTCAAAAATCCCTTAACCCCAAAAACCCTCTTTTAAATTTCCAAAACCTTAAATAAAAACACTTAAAACCTTACTAAAAACACTTCAAAAACAATTAACAATCCCCCTCTACTTCCCTCTTCACCTCCCCTTCCACCTTCCCCTCCTCTTCACTCTCCACCTCCACTCAATTATTCACCACCAAAATCTTCTCCACCTCCCTCATCTGAAACTCCAGTCCTTCCCCCAGACTCCCCCACTGCCCCCTACTCCCACTGACCCCTTCCCACACTTGAGCCATATACTCCAACATCTCCTGCTTGCTCTGCTCCAGACTGAGCAGGGACTGCTCAGTCTGGAGCTTCAGCAGCTGGCAGCTGTCGGAGATCTGGGTGTAGTGCTTGCGGAAGAGACTGAGGTAGATGCCTAGTTGGGAGAGAGGGAGTTTACAGGTGAGTTTTAGGTCACGTTTTTTGGAAGGGGAGGGGTGGAAGGAGAAGTTGTGCGGGGACTCGGAGGGGGTGAGGGGGGATTGGGAAGGGGAGGTGGGGAAGGGGGAGGTGGTGGGGTCTGGAGGGAGGGGGGAGGGGTGAGGAGGGGAGGGAGGGGTGGAGATTGTGGGGATTTCGTGGTAGTTTTTGGGGTTTAGGGGTCGTAGGATGCGTTTTAGAGGGGATTTTTTGGGGGATTCGAAGGGTTCTTTTAGTTCTTCACGGGATGTTTTGGATTTGTTTTTAAGTTGTTTCAGACGGGTTTTGATCTCTTTTATTTTGTGAGGTACCGCTTTTAAGAGTTCTTCTAAACTTAGTTTTTTCTGATCCCATTTCAAGATTTTCTCATCTAACTTCGAATTCCATTTATAATCTCCAATTCATATCTTTTTCTTGTAGGCTCTTTCTCTAATTGCTTTTAGAGTTCTTTTTGGGAATCTTTTACAGATTGCATTAATGTTTCCATATCACTCCTTTATTGCTTGGATAAGAAGCTGATCTTCTTCGAGGCTCCACTTTTTTGGCATTTTCTTGCGTTTGTCACTCATAGCTTTTAAAGTCTTTTTTACTTATTTCTAGAATAAGATCTCTAAGAAATAAGGTTAATTTTCAAAATTCTTCTCCCCTAAAATCTTCAAAATCCCTTATCCTAAATCCCACCCCTAGGTCCAAAATTCATTTAAAACTCATTAAAACACATTTAAATCTGCTAAAACCATCATCTAACTTCAAAATAATCAAAAATTAAAAAATTCCCCTACTCTACTCCTCCCTCCTTCTCTTCGCTGACCTTAAACTTCTCTTCAACTTGCCATATTCTTTCCCTCCATCTTCCTTAACCTCCTTATCACCTAATTTACTCAGCATCTTTAGGATCCTCTTCTGTGTCGATATTATTTCTGTACATGAATCTTTGACTTCTTTCTGAATGCCCTTGAGAGCTTGGCTAGACCTCTTCTCCATGGCTGTCAGCCTAAGCTCCAGCTTCTGCTGGTTCTGAAAAATCCTCATACAAGTTTGTAATGTCTGTATTGATTTTGAGTCTAAAGGATCCTCCACTTTTACAACAGACTGTATTTGGGAAGAACCTGGGTTTTCAGATCAAGAGTCTGGAAATGCAAAGTCTTCGGATTTTACTTCTGGGTAAAGAGATGGAGGAATTTGAGTACCCGGCATGGTTGCAGAAGTTGACTGAGTATTATCAAATCCAAAGTTCTTTGCTAGAAAGTTATACACACCATCTGGAGAAAGTTCTTCATAGCGGTTTCTTATTTCCTCCTTTGTTTTTCCTGGAAAATCCTTCATTGCTTTCTTCCACTTTTTCCCATTGATTTTAACCCAGCTCATCAACTTCGAATCTTCTTCAGGAGTAAATGGGGTTTTGGTAAGCCTAGGCTTAAGTATATAATGCCAATGACTATAACAAGCATCTGCATTTCTAGTCATGACTTTTTGCGAAATTTCTTTCCAGTTTGTGCATCCATCCTTTACTGCAGTATGCAAAAGATGATCTTCAAGAGGACTCCAATGTCCGTTTGACTGGAACTCTGGACTCTTAGGATTAGTTTTCTTCTCTTGTTGAGTACCTGACTCTGTAAGAAACTCAATCTCTTGTGACAAAAAATCAGCATCACTAAGAACAACTTTTTGGCTCATTTTAATATACTGTAATTCTATTTATTTACCACAACTATTTTCAATATTAGTTTGAATAAATGGGGTTTTGGGGTTTTGGGGTTTTGGGGTTTTGGGG